GGAAATGCTCTCTTCTCTCACCTCTCTTCAAATCTTAACCTAAAAATTTATTTGGGGTTTCTCTCATTTAATGCACTCGTCGGGTTCTCGCTTAAGCGAGCCCATTCTCGCTCAAGCGAGAAAATCCCGCCCATTTTAAAAACTCGTGTTTGACCCTCTCGCCCAGGGGAGGGAAATCTCGCCCAGGCGAGGCATCTCTCGCTCAAGCGAGGATCTTACAGCCTCGATAGGTCCAAAATGTCACTTTTCTCGTCTAGGCGAGCCAACTCTCGCTCAGGCGAGACCACCCTCGCTCAAGCGAGCCAACTCTCGCTCCGGCGAGACCACCCTCGCTCAAGCGAGCCAACTCTCGCTCCGGCGAGACCACCTGTAACACCCCGAATTTTAGTCTTTAAAAATTAGAGTATCAGTTCTGGAAGCCTCGCTTGATCCAGAGATTCTCGCTTGAGCGAGAGAGGTGCATCTGGGAGGGTGAAATCTTGGGCTATACTGGAGGATTCTCGCCTGAGCGAGAGTTGTATCACCCGAGCGAGAAATGGCAATTTTGGGCAGTGTAATCGATTACACAGTCCATGTAATCGATTACATGCAGATAAAAGCATCAGATATGTGTATTTTACATAATGTAATCGATTACACAATACATGTAATCGATTACATGCAGATAAAAGCATCAGATATGTACATTTTATATGATGTAATCGATTACACAATACATGTAATCGATTATATGCAGATAAAAGCATCAGATATGTGCATTTTACATGATGTAATCGATTACACAATACATGTAATCGATTATACAATACATGTAATCGATTACATGCAGATAAAAGCATCAGATATGTGCATTTTACACGATGTAATCGATTACACAATCCATGTAATCGATTACATCTATGCGTTAAGCGAAAATTGCTACTGTGAGATTCTCGCCTGAGCGAGAATGGGCTCGCTTGAGCGAGAACCCGACGACTGCTCTTTAAAAATAGAAACCCCAAACACATTTTAGGGTTAGAACTTGAAGAGAATAGAGAGAAGGGAGCTTTTCAAGAGCAAGGAGCCTTAGGACTAATTTTAGAGCTTGCGAAGAGGTAAACCTCTTGTTCCTAACTCTTCTTTTTCCTCTCTAACTTGTTTTGGGTATGTTGGATTTATTTTCATAACATGAGAAATCATGGAAACTCATCCGTTAGAGTTATGGTTCGTTTTATGTTGTTTTTATCTTGTAAACTCTTGGTTTAGAGATAGTATCTCAAGAATGGAAAAGGTTGTGGGTTGATTCATGAAAACCCCAAAAACCCTAAAAGTGAAAATGTGGTAAAAGGAGAGAATGAGTAAAATGTTAGAGGTAGAAGATGAGTTTACCCCCAAATATTGAAATATGAGATGTTATGCATGTTTTAGATGGTTGAATATTGATGATGAATATTTTGTATGATTAAATGATGCAAAATAAGTTGTTTATGTAATATTTGGAATAAATAACTAACATTGTGTTATGTGGTGGGACGAGAAGAGAGAGATCCTAAGGTTGGAGGTGGTGTTGGTAGAATTCGAGAAGTTGCCAAGAACCGAACCCCAATACTCACCAAGGTAAGGATAAGTCTTTAATTGTGCATTTGGAATAGAAAATGTAAGTATTTTCTGGTTATGCAATGATTGAGTTGTGAATTACGCATTTAGTATAAACATATATGGGTGTGTTTATACTAAAGTAGGCGTAGATTTACGGAAGATGGAAAACGTGTGTATTTCTGATCATGCAATAATTATATTGTGAATCACGTGTTTAGTATAAACATATATGGGTGTGTTTATACTAAAGATGGCGTGGATTTACAGGAAATGGTTGATAGTGAAATCAATGAAAAGGAAACATATTTTTAGCCGACCATAAATGGTTAGCGACTTTGGCTCAAGTTATGTAGCAATGCTTTGGCTCAAGCTATGTAGCAACACTTTGGCTCAAGTTATGTAGCAACACTTTGGCTCAAGTTATGAAGCAATACTTTGGCTCAAGTTATGTAGCAATGCTTTGGCTCAAGCTATGTAGCAACACTTTGGCTCAAGTTATGTAGCAACACTTTGGCTCAAGTTATGAAGCAATACTTTGGCTCAAGTTATGTAGCAATGCTTTGGCTCAAGCTATGTAGCAACACTTTGGCTCAAGTTATGTAGCAACACTTTGGCTAAAGTTATGTAGCAACACTTTGGCTCAAGTTATGAAGCAATACTTTGGCTCAAGTTATGTAGCAATGCTTTGGCTCAAGCTATGTAGCAATACTTTGGCTCAAGTTATGTAGCAATGCTTTGGCTCAAGCTATGTAGCGAAACTTTGGCTCAAGTTATGTAGCAATGCTTTGGCTCAAGCTATGTAGCAAAACTTTGGCTCAAGTTATGTAGCAATACTTTGGCTCAAGTTATGTAGCAACGCTTTGGCTCAAGCCATGTAGCAAAACTTTGGCTCAAGTAATGTAGCACAAAATGAATTTATAAAACAAATGGTTTATTAACTCCTTTTTCTAATGTGGATTATCTTATAATGACGTTTATTGAATTAATGACTTACTCCTTTGTGTGTTTTGTACTGTTGTCATCGATAATCCCATTGCAGGTAAATAGACGAATGAAGTATGCCAGGTCGGGAGCTTTAGGAGCTTTAGACTTTGGATTCACTATTTATGTTTTTCGTATTCTAAATGATTACCTGCGGATTTAAATGATTGTAATCATGACTAACCATTATATGGATATTTGTAATCATGCGTAATGTTATTTCGGAGGATCAGAACCTTTGAGGTCTTAGTACTCATAGGGAATGATATGAATGAATTATGTTTTTCTACAAGATTAATTGTATGATAATATAATAGGTTATAAGATTAGTTCCAAGAATGATTCATGAGAAGTTCTAGGTAAAAATGATTATGTATGTGGTTATTGATTCATGGATTGAGTGTGAGGAGGGGAAATAAGATTTTGAAGTAAGGATATTAAAATGGTAATGTGAGTTATGAGTGATTGAATGAAATTAAATTAAACAAAAAAATTTCAAGGGTAGAAAATCGGGTCGTTACACCACCCTCGCTCAAGCGAGCCAACTCTCGCTCAGGCGAGAATCCTCCTGTATAGCCTAGGATTTCACCCTCTCGGGTGAGCCTTTCTCGCCCAGACGAAAATCCCTCGCTCAAGCGAGAATCCCAGGACTGATACTATAATTTTAAAGAATGAAATCAAGGGTGTTACAATGTCTATGCAATTTATCAAATGTGATTAAATTGGGTCAATAATATATAAGAATACACCTTTTATGATAAAGTTTTCATACAATAATTACAAAAAATCACTAGTAGTGTAAAAATATTTTATTTAACTTTGAAATTATCGTAGTATTCTTTTTGAACAAAATATCATTTGACTCTATAAAATCTAAAAAAAATTATCATAATACCAATAAATAGCTAAAAATAATTATATTTAAATCAATCAAACAAAAGAATGGACTATAATGTCTTTTTTGATATTTTTTTTGGTTATTTTTTAGAAAATAATTATGATTGTGATTTATTTAATTTCTGGTAAAAATAGGTTCAACATATCAATCTTTGTCTTACTAAGAGTTGTTGGGGTTTTGGACTCCCTTCCTATGTGGAGAAAGACCATATATGAGCAAGTTCATTGGTATCACTTAGGTCAAGAGAGAGGTCTGATTTTAGTAAGAGAGGCAAAAGAGAGACAAGAGAAAAGTGAGGGAGAAGAGAAGAGTTTTTCCTTGTTCTCCTTTTCAAGTTTATTGCTCTATTGCTTTGTACACTTGTTGAGCATGATTTGTGCTACATCTTGAGACTCTCTTGTAGCCTGATTTGATTATAGTGGAACTCTATTACTGGCTTGTACCCGTAGTTGTTTACTTCTCACATTGAGAAGGTTTTTCCACGTTAAAATCGTGTTTATCTTTGTGTTTGTGATTTTTAGTTGCTGCCATATTTGTTGATTGCTCCTCACATATTCTTGCAAGTATGGGAAATTATAATCAGCTGCATATTGCTCTTTTATAGATTGAGTTGTTATTGTGTTGAATTTTCCATCAAGAGTAACATCTACTGAGTCAAATTTACTTGTGTTATCAATTGCAACAAATCAATCAATAGGGAACTTCACATACATCATTTAGTGTTCATTTGTATTATTTATATTTAAAATTCATTTATATTATACATATTTAAAAGTCATTTATGATCAAATATGAATGGTGGATAATACACAAACAAGATAAAAAAATCTCTTATATTATTAATGTAAATATTTTTTCACATTAAGTAAACCATATTTTATCATTAGTGTTGTCACTAATTCCCTTCATCTCTACCCAACGTTTTTATTTACTATATATTTTAGCAATTCAAATTGCCATGATTTATGTCCAAAGTAGAAGCTAATAAGGATCCCAAAGGAAAAAGAAACTGTGGAAATATAGACCAATAGGATGGAACTCTAACAGGCAATTTGGGGAATTTTTTTTTTAGAAGAGCTGTAAACTAAGAAGATGGATCCATTTACTATAAGAGTAAGTTTAAAAACTTATTTCACATCTTAGCCATCAATTCTATGAAAATTCAATGATTTAGATCTATTCTCTAATTCAAACTATTGAATTTCCCTAAAATTGATGACAAAAATGTGAAGTAAGTTTTTAAAATTACTCTTGGAGTAAGTGGATCTCCTACCAACTAAAAAAAATGAAATACTTAGTTTTTGCATATTTTTCTCACTTGAGAATACTAAACATATAGTACTTAGTTACATAATAGTCCTATGAGTCAGCTAGTCTAAGGTCCATTTGTTTAAAAACAAGGAAATATAAAATTAATACAAAATATTTCAATGGTTTTCCCTTCTAAATGGGATGTTATTCACTCGCAGCAGTGCACGTGCCACTTTCTATGGTAGAAGTGGTGCTTCTGGAACAATGAATGGTGCATCTGGGTAAGGGAACCTAGCCAAGGTTATGGGGTGAACAATGCAGATTTGAGTATAAAATTATTCAATGGTGGTCTAAGTTGTAGTGCATGCTTTGTGACCAAGATCAAGTGTTTTAAATTGCGGTTGCAATTAATGCGATTGTGGTCATTGCGGCCGTTGTGATGCGGATTGCGGCCGTTACGGTGTGAATTATTTTATGATTAAAATAATATTTTTGAATTTAATGGGCCTGATGCAGTCCGATACTGTCCAAATGTGGTCCAATGCGGTTGTGTTGTATCCCAATGCAGCCACATTATTGTGATTTGGAGTCACACCACAATTGCGATGTGATGCGGTTACGGCGGTCACCACAACCACAATATTGCGGCCGCATCACCTGATGCAGCCTGCAATTTATAACACTGCCAAGATCTAAAATGGTGCAGCCATGGGTCCCTATTTTATCTTCGGTGTATTTATCAACTTAATTCTAGCATCAGGTAAATGTTTTTGTCCTCATTCTTTTCTTTTGTTATCTACTTTGCATATTTATTCTAGAATCTGTTTTAATAAATTGGATCATAACATAAAAGTTTCAATTATATCTCAAATGTTTCTTTGAAGATTTGATGTGGTGTATATATTAATTTACGGTGTTTCATCGGACTTCAAAACTATAAAATTTTAGCTGTACTCGAAATATATATTTAAGATTTGATGTGATGCGGACATTAGGTTATGTTGTTTCATCTATCTTGAAGATGATAAAATTTCAATTATATTTTAAATATCTCTTTAAGATTTAATGTGATGCGGACATTAGTTTCTATTGTTTCATATATCTTAAAGATGATAAAATTTCAACTATATTTTTTTAAGATTTGTTGAGGTACGCAAATTAGTTTATGTTGTTTCGTCTATCTTGAAAATGATAAAATTATAATTATTTAAAATATCTCATTAAGATTTGATGTAGCGTGAACATTAGTTTCTATTGTTTTATCTTCTTTTAAGATGATAAAATTATAATTATATTTTAAAATATTTCTTTCAGATTTGATGTGGTGCAAATATTAGTTTCTCCTGCATCATCTATCTTAAAGATGATAAAATTTCAAATATCCCTTTGAGATATGATGCAGTACAGACATTAGTTTATGTTGCTTCTAAGGGTTGGAACAGGTCAGACAACCTATCAGGGGCCTAGTACCTGGCCTATAACAGGTCAGGTCAGACCTTTTTGATAAACAGGTCAGTCAGGGTTAGGCTTCTCCAAAAACCTATTTAACCTAAATAGGTGAGGTTCATGTCTTTTAAAAAGCATATTAAGTCTAACAAGTTAACATATGTAATGTTATTATATATTTATAAATTATTTTTTATAATATGTACAAATAAAACTAAATAATAATTTTTTTTTTATGTAAATTCACTCGGACTTAGATATTAGACTATTTAATAATCAAACACTTAGTTGTTGAGACTTGGACTTAAGTACATAATTCAACTCATATAAGTAAATTTTTCCTAGCTTGTACATTATGTGTTGAATTTTTTACCTTAACAAACATTTAAACAGGCTAACAGGTTAGACCAGACTTTTAAATAGACCACTAGGCTTTGATTTTTTTTAAACAGACTAATAAGTCAGGCTCAGACTCCTATATATTATATAGGTCCGACATGTTTAAGACAAAGTCTTACTTGGTCTCGCCTGTTTTCACCCCTAGTTGCTTCATCTCTTCTCGAAGCGAATAAAATTCTAATTATATTTTTAAAAACAAACAAATCAACCCCAACCAATTCAAACCAGAGTTTTGATTTCTTTGTTGCACTTAGGGATATATATGAGCAAGATAAATTATTGTCAGACACAAAAATAAAAAAATAAATAATTTTATTTTTAGTTATTGAATTTTAATAAATAATTTTTAAGGGTATAAAAGTTCATGTTATTATCGATGGTACCGTTTTATTACGGACGAACAATATGCTAATATCTTCTCTGATCCATAATCGCTCTCGAATCTTTATTTAAATACTGTATTATCCTAATTGACCATAAAAGAGAGTTTTGCGTAGTGGCAACTCCAAATCAATTGTGAGAGGTATAAATTGAGTTTGTCTCTCCCAAAGTCGAAGGGTCGGTCTTCCAACCGAAAATCGGACTGTGACAAATATATTCTTCCCAACAAAGATAATACAAGCTAAAAACCATCAAAGAAAAGGAAAACGTAGATAAAAAATGTGTTGGTATATATCATGTACTGTTATGATTTGTTTGTAATTTTATCTATTTTATTGTTTCTGCCAAAACATAATTGGCATGATATTTGTATTGTGTTGATGTTAATAATACAAACTTTTGAATATACACCATTGAAAATATATATTCATCTAGGAAAAACTATATTGTATGTGATACATATAACAATGATGCTTATAGGTAGAGTTCTTATATGTGATAGATGCAATACCAAATATAACTATAATTCAATGGTTGAGTAGATATAATTTATATTGTGCAAAAAGTTAAAAGTAGTAATTTCTTTCCCTCAATTATACATATTCTTAGATGCGTTAAATATTTGGTAGAGAAAGTATGTCACTTATAATGATCATATTTGACTCAAATAAAATAATCTTTGATTGATTAATAATACTTGTTTTGATATAAAAAAATGCAACTTATATAATATGTTCTTAGGTCGAAAACTTCAATACTTTATATTCGAATGTATAAATTAAAGGAATATACGTTTTTTAAACATATGGAAATAAGATTTATTTGTTTAATTATTTGTTAATGTTCAAATTTTAAATAAATGATTTGAATTTTATATATTTATAGATTAATGGTAGGATTAATAAATTTATATTGCATAAAAAATTATACTATTAAATTTTATTTGAGCCAGTAAGAGTAAGATTAAAAGATATGTGAAATTTGTAAACTGTGAAATGTAACCACTAAAGAATGATGGAGACTCCTCTCCATTAATAGAGACGAAAGTTGTGTGAAAAAACAAAAAAAACACAAAATGAAATGACACTTATATCCTTATTAATTATGAGGAATGATCCATTTACTCCTCATCTTAGCCATCCAATCTTAAAAAATCCAATGATTTAGGTGTACTCACCAATTCAAACCATTGGATTTCCTAAGAATGAATGATCATGATGTAGAGTAAGTGTTTTTCCACTTACTCTTGGAGTAGGTGGATCCCTCCCCATTAATTATATTAAAATTACACTTTTACCCTTAACAACCAAAGAAAAAAAGAATTTTCATCTTCATTACCTCGTACTCCTAAACAATATATAAAGGAAAAAGGAGACTTGTATAGATATGCTCTACTTGCAGCTGCATTGTTTATAGTTCATGTGACATTAGGATCACATGGAACATTTAATTCAACCCAAAACATAAACAAGAAAAGAAAAAAACAAAAGAAATCAAATGAACATGTTTCTCAAGTTGCTAATGTTGTACTTGGACAACTATCAACAGCGCAAGCCAAGATGTCTCTATAATCTCTAGATATACTGAAAGAATCATAAACTTTTCCATCACTGCTCTTTTTGTACTCAAGCAACAATTTTGAATGATCAAATGCTGTAAGTTTCACAAATCCAAAGTCAAGGTCTTTAAAGATACTCCATGTTGTGTTTATAGGGGCAAATTCAGCAAGCGCTGCTCCTCCTCCACCAACTACTAAATGTATTGTCCCATTCAATGAGCCCTTATAACTGTGCTTCTCTTTATTGGTGCAAACATTCTGAAATAAGAAAGTAATTAATTTGTTATGTCAAATTATATGAAGTACACAAAATGTTTTCATAATTTGATTACTTCAATCCAATTTATATGTCTTGATGAGCAATTTGACTATTAGTAAAGCAACCAAAATGAAAGGGACAAGATGAATTTAATAGTTCCAAATGAGGTGTGAAGTCCATATACTACAAAAATGGGAAAGTATCTGAGCCGTACTCATATACAATATCGATTACTGTATGATACTTCCTAGTAATATCTAAAAAAGGGCAGTTCAGTGTACGAAGCTCCCTCTTAGTGGGTCTGAGAATGTTTGTTGTACGCAGTCTTATCCATACAAGTAGAGAAACTATTTCCGGGATCCAAAAGTACCCGTAATTTAGTTTTTTCAAATATTTGTATTCAATACCTTTGAATGGAACTCCGATATGTCTCATATATGTGTGACCTTTTTTTAATGTGTTTCTCACCCCTGGATGCAACTTTAGCATGGTATCAGAGTCAGGTCTCAATTTCTTTTCGGTTGTCATGGGCCAAAAGATGCCCTTTAGTTATGGGTCAAAGGTAACTCTTCGCCTGGTCCAGCAGGCATGTTAGGAAGTAAGTCTCACATCACCTATCTCATTCCATTTATGATGTGTTGGTGTATCTAGATCGTGTAACATATCATACCCATGTCATACTATGTAAAGGAACAAAGTAAAAATTGTGCATCCAGGGGAATACCTGGTATACCGGGCATGTTCTTTCATAGTTGTGGACATGTCCATACATGGCTATGTCAACCTTATACTTTTGCCAGAGACTTTGAAGGTCCTCCCTTCCCATTGGTTCTTCAAAAGAGCCTTCTTTAGCATAGAACCCTACAGAGGAATAACCAAGTACTCTATGTGCAAGAAATATTAGCCATGGCTGTTTTTGTCTATCAACCGATGCAAGGCACTCTTCGATGAATTTATACTGCTCCGATCCTTTCCTCCAATCAAGTTCTGTGTTTGCTACGCAGAATCTGAACATGCCATAGTCCGTGGAGTACCTAGCGAAGTAAAGTAATGTTATGTTCAACACCATTTTCAGAGTAAAACCAATATCATTCATATTTTCTAGGTACATTCAACAAGCTGGAATTAAGTAATATAATGTACAAGCTATTTTAGGAGGAACTCCACTGATATTTGGCATAATTTGCAATATTTATGAACAACCTATGTTTATATATTTGTCGGCGAAAAGTTTGATAACTTGTTTTATTCAACAAGATATGCATGGCTATACAAATTTCAAGTTTGAACAAATATTAAATCTGCTAAATGCCTACATCCACAAGTGTTATAAAAGTGAATCTAATAAAACCACCAAAACATGTGGGGTATGGTCTATGCAAAAGGTTGAAACTAGAAATATTGTACCAGAATTTTTCCCGATTCTCGGCAGGAACGAAAAACATAGTCTGCGAAGGGACACCGCATTCACCACCTGAATCCAAGCTCCCGTAAAATGACCCAGATCCTGGCCAGTCACGCTCATGATTGCCACTAAATGAACACAATGTAAAGCAGAAAATAAGAAAATGAAGAGTAGCTCTGAAAATAAAAATGCAACACGGATATGTAACACTACAAACCTTGCAGTCATATAGGGTACAGTTGATGCAATTGGCTCAATCTGCGCCGTAAACTGGTCCCACTGTGAAATGTATCCACTAGCATAGCATGTATCACCAATGTGGAAGACTAAATCTATGTCATCCAAATCTCGAATAATCTGCTTAGTAGTGTTAAGTGAGCCAGGTTGAAAATTGTTGTATTCATTGGATCCATCAGCTTCTGCCTGTTTGTGGAATAATTAAGTGAGACCTTGAGATATACTTGTAATTTCAATAACATGCAATAATAATGACATTTTTTCTTCGTATTTTTTGGTATCCTATGGGTAAGGAACTAATCCGTTTCGGTGTGTGTGTCTGCCCCTCGCAACAAGTGTCACTCCCACGAATCGAACCCTTGGCCTTATAGTTTTTCTCGGTATCTAATGGGGCCTTACATCATTAGACCAATACAAATTATAACCATTTCAAGTCAACAAACAGATAGAGCCTAATGAAAAGAGTAAGGTTTCATTATACGAGATTAAGATATCAGATACTATTTCATCTTTGGAACAATACTATTTTATCTTCGGAACAAACTTATTAGAAGGTTTATGAGAATAGAAAGAGAGAAAAGTACCTTTCCCATATCACCAAATATGACTACACGTTGCGCAGAATTTTGACCAGGATATGGAGATGCTTTAAACTTATATTC